AAAAAATACATCTCAGGTTAAACAAATTTTTGTGCGCAGTCACGCGACTTTTTTCCATTCTAAATTCAATTGAAGTCTTATGTTTCACAACATAAAAAAGATCAACGATCGATTTTGTCACATGTGATAAAACGAATGTCCACTATGCTTAAAAAATATACACAGGTAGAAAAACCAAATTTAACAATGGTCATATACTAGTAAAACTACAACAAAATTTTAAGATTTACCCATAATAAACTATTGTTAAATGTTTCATTTGATCATTTTTCAAAATACTTCTAATGATGCTGTATTTTTGGGTTCCATAGTAGATCTGATGTAAATGAGTTTCATATTAACTATTTTTATGTAGGGATAGTTCTATATATGACATATTGAACTAAATTTTGATCCCTGAAATTCTGGTAATACCAATATTCACTTTGTCTGGTTTTGTTGCAGCACCCATATATTATTTTGACACGTACTATTATTATAATTAACATTGCATCACATGGGAATGCATTGCTATTTCTGAAAGTATTGCTAGTTAAAAAAAATTTGCCACATAAATAAGGATTTTTGGAATCAAGTTCGATTGTGAATTGATACAAGAGCCTGCTCTTAAATAGATAGTAGAAAAGTAGTAGGGAAACATTGTATTGTCATTTAATATTAAACCTACACTATAATAAATAAAAATATTAACCTCTAATCTAAAACCTAGCACAGCCTTGTTAATCTACACTATTGATATGATTTTTACTTTTCTATATAAACTGCTGAACAATTGACTGTATGCTTAGCAAGCAGTACCAGTCCATTTTATTTATCCTCTGAATTGCTTTCCCAGCCGGAGGTTGATAAAAGAAGAAGAACAAGAAGTTGAAGATACACTCTCATTTTTAATATAGAAGAAGAAGCCGAGGATGAAATCACACCTTCTTTAAAATTCTTCCATATACCATCTGGTAAAAGTGGAATACGATTTAAACCATAATGTGTAATTCATGACTTGAGAGCTAATCTTTTTAAAGAGTCATCCCATTGGCTTGGGGCACTAATGGTAATAAACACTAGTTTGCAAATTCTTGAAGTGAACTTGGCTTAAACTTCTCTGGAAGATTCTTAATTTAATCAAATAATGCAAGAAACAATTTTTTAACAATACCAACAAAGTGGTTCTTGATCTTTTGAAATAGATATTTAAAGACAGTTCTTTTAACGCTTTCTATTTAAGCATTAATCAAATGGAAGGCAAGAATAAAACAACAACAATAATAATCCCGATTTTGCCGCATTTTGTTATTTTCCAGCGTGATATTTATCTGCCTGTGACATATTGCGGCATGTGCACCTCGAAAATTAATATTAATACTCGAAATTAGAAATGATGATCTAAAAGATGATTGATTTGATTTTGATCTATTATTAACTATTCCTAATAAAATAATGTCGTTTATTCAAGAGCTTGTACGTGAATTACAAGCAGATCTTGATGCTTTGTGTATTTCACCTTTTAGTAATTTCGAAGCATCATATAAACAAATAAGACAACCAGAGAAACCAGAAACTACAAAAATTAAAACTACTGTTACCCCATCTATAAATACTACAAACAATGATAAAAGTTATAATAACTTAAATCCTGTTGAAATTTACAATGAATATTCTGAATTCTTAAAAAAATCAATTTACAGTATGCAACTAGAAGAAGGAACAATTCCAAGTTTGAAAAAAATACAACAACAATTGGACATGCTAATGTCGAATAAGGAGAAGTGGAATAATAATAATACTAATTATAATATGATAATGATGATGGATAATAAAGCAAATGATGATTTAGAAAGCTTATTTATTGCAAAAATTACAATAGTTGTATATGCTATTGTAGTTGAACATTTGTTAATGGCTACTTTACCATTATTAGATGATATTTATTATTGGGAAGAATTGGAAGGAAGCAGACTTTGGACTTTTTATCACCTAATCCAAAGTTAAGTGTATTATAAATTTATAAATAAATGTACTGTAATAAAATACACATACTGTATAATAGATTAAAATTGATTGATTTTTATTATTTAGCCATTCCAATACGCACATATTTTTTTTCCAATGCAATCTACAAATATATAATAACACGTAATAAACCAAATCTTCATAACAATGCTAACATAAACACTGCTAATAATCAATCGAAAAAATATTTTTCAATTGGACACACGATGATCAACATGTTTCCAACATACACTCACTCACGTTTCTCTGACCCACAATCATTTTCTTTTCCGTTGGCAATTCGATACGAAGTTCATTATAAGAAATCCATACTTAGATCACTAATGAAGCATCAAGCAAAATGCCTCGGTTTCCTAGTTTCTGAATTGAACTTCAAGTTTCCAATTGATTCAGCAGATCAACTTGGTGGCAATTTCAAATCTAATATTGCTGAGCGTGTTAATAACTTTGTTATGCTAATCGAGAAAGTTTTAAATCATTTAATTAATAATGATGATTTTGATGTTGAGAATGGAATTATACCAGATATTGATTTTGGTTTGTGGAATTATTCGTTAGTTTGGATAAATGAATAAATTATAAATTTTTTTTAAAAAAAGTATTAATTTGTAATTTAATGATTATAGAAAAATTGAAATTAGAGGTTAAGTCAATGCATACTTTAGAAAAAGAAAATCAAGGACTTGATGATCTTTCTTCTCGATTACAATCAATTATTACAACACATCTTCCAAGTTATGCAAAACAATGCAATCGAATTACATCCATATATGGTCGTCCATCATTTCTGACTAGATGGTGGCTACCAGTCACAATTTCATCTGTTATTGCATATAAAAATAGAAAATACATCTATAGGGATAATTTGATGAAATTATTTGATAATGTAAAAATTACAACAATCAATTTTTTTAGTGATTGGATATGGGATCCAATAGTACATATGATGGACACAATAAGACATCGAGAAAATAGATTAGCACTTATGGGTAAAGAGAGTTTAAATTCTGATTTAGAGGTATATATATATATATATATATATATATATATATTGTATTTGTATCTGTGAATATATACATATTAATAACAGTAATTAATATTTTTTAATATATATGATGAAAAGTCACTTGAACGTATGGTACTTGATTTTGCTCGTGACAATTTACAATTAAGTTCAGAAGATCTTATTGTGGTATCAAATAAAATACGAGAAGGTGATTTATCAGTTGTTCTAATGGCTTATGAACAAGAACTAAAGGTACTATGATTATTGATATTTTATTATAATTATTGAAAATGCTTTTTAATCAAATAATTAATATTTATTGATTAATATTAACATTATAGAAACCTTTTAAATCTACAATAACAGGTAAATGAAGAAATTAAAAATTAAAAATCCCAAATAATATAATATTAATCTCCTTAAAAAAAATTTTTTAAAATTAAAGGAAACCTTATCAGAACATTGTTAATTCAAGTACAAAAAACAAAAGTAGATTTAGAATTAGCCATGGCAGCTTTAGATAAATTATTGAAATCAAATGAATTGAATTTTGCTTTTTTAGCAGTTGGTCCGAGTCTTTTTGTTGTTTATTTATTGTGTAGTTGGATGGAAAGAATTTGGTGGAATAAAAATAATTGGGTTGGTAAACTTCAGGGAACAAATGCTCAAATGAGAGAATCTTTACGGTATGACTCTCAATTAGCATATATGGGCAAGTGGGTGTAATATTGATCATATTGCTAATAATTATATTTCAATTACCATTCATCCTAAATAAAAATAGACAAGCTGAACGAATACTTGTTAAGAATTACAATTCAACAAAATTAACTTATACAGCACATGGACTTTTGCTTTGTCACGTTCATCATCTTAGAATCTATTCAAGTTATTTGCCATCCAAAAATAGTTTGCAAACTCGATTTCTCAATGATCTTCGTGATTTGGATAATCCTAGTTTTAGTGTGCAACAAAAAATATTAACTTGTGAAAGAATGTGGAGATTTTGGGGATTTTTAAAATAATGCCAAAGATAAACATATGGGATGTGATCATGTGATTTAGTGTTTGCTTTTTCTTCAAAGTAATCCCAGACTTTTGATTTCCTTAACTTTTTTTTTAATGTATTTCTTATTATTCGCATCATCATCCACAATATCAATTACATTCCCAGTTTCACTTTCAAAGTTTGCATTTGATTCTTCATTAACATAATTCTCAATAAAATCTAGACAAAATTCATATTGATTATAAAAATAGATAATTATTCAATTGTTTTAATTTTGGATGAATGAATGGATTATATTATATTGCGGTTATTTATTATTTATTTATTAATTATAAAGATAATTAATGTTACGATTATTATTATAATTTTCTACCATTACACAAAATTAACCGGTTAACGGTGCCAATCTCTAAGTTAAGGAATAATAGGCCTGAGTTTGATGTTATAAATTTTTATTTAGGTAACAAATGATTAATTCTATTTCATATTTTACTAAAATAATTTAATAAACAATAAAACCAATAAAACCAATAAAAAAAAAACGAATAAAAAACGAAAAAAAAAAAATTTGGAATAAACGAATTAAACAAATAATACAAATAATTTATTCGAAAAAAATTTGTATTCAATTCAACAACAATAAAGACTTTAAATGTTTTACATTTCATTTCAAATATCCGAGCAAACATTATACAGTCAAACCTCTTGTTTCAACGACTTGTAATTAAGTTCGCATTATATTACAGCAATATTTTCAATTTTCTGTTGCATCTGTACGTTCTTCATTATTATACACGCACGTTCTTATATTTTTTTTTTGTCAAGATGAAAAAGATCTTGGCGTATCAAACACAGGCCACGACTACTAACTAGAGTTAAACCCATGCACAAACGTGCAGAAGCGAAAAATTTAAAAAATCGCAAGTAGTTTATATTAGTTTTTTTTGATTTCGTCGAAACGAGGGTTGACTGTATTAGTATTAATATTAGTATTAGTATATAATTTACATGAATATTAATATTCGGGACTTTTGTATCAATAAAGAAATGACATCACGTCATGAGGGATCAACCACATACGATCGCATATTTTTCATGTTTCCCCAAACGGAGCATCTAGGTTTTACATTTTTAGCATATATATTATATATTCGATTTTTCATACATAACAGTATTATTTTCCTTGTTTAAATTTCATAGTCATTCACAGATAACAATTTGCAAAAATTGAAATGGGTATTTTTCTAGTATATCAAACAAAAATCTAATGTACTCGATTTACAACTACTATAAACCTAAGACACACTATAAACTTAAATCGACTATAATACTACTATAATTCACTAAATATGTCAATATCACATGTATTATGTAATAAATTGCATAAGCGTAATAACATTAGACTCTGATGTGATGTGAAAAAAGTGATAGGTTATTATTATTGCCTTGTTTATACTGGACTCAAATTGAACAACTCTTTGAGACTGAAAGACGATATGATTATCTTAGTATTATCGGCCAAACGAGACCCGAAGCAATGGGCGATAAGAGTTCACATTCCTCTCCAAGAGTTGATCTCTGAAAGGCTTATAATGTGTATTGTTTATCATTCGGGAAGTGGCAAGCTAGTATATTATGATTACTACAAGCCTAAGCTATTCAAATATGGAACTGCAATATGTTTAGATTAGTTGATGTAAATGCCAAACTTGGAAAAAAAGTTTCGCTTCATTAAGCGCAGATATGTAAAAGTTATCCGGCCTGATTATTTGATGGGACAAAACCTGAAACGGGTCCGGGACATGCTAGAATTAAACACAAAATGCTTGGAGGAAATTATTCGAAAGATAAAAATTATTGGCGATAATATTGCGGAAACATCAACAAATCAAATCAATAAAAAGAAAAGAAACGAACAAGATGATGATGAAGATGATGATGGACTATTATAATTACAATATAGGCCAAAAAAGGTTTACAGTAAAGGATATAGAAAAAAAAAAGAATACATCAAAATTGTAGTGACGATGATGTGATACACTGATTATGAAGAAATCAGAAGTAAATCAAGTAAAAACAAAAAAATGATGTTATTTTCGAAATCAAAATGACTCTAATAAACATCATTTTAAACCAGAAGAAGAGTATAAAATATATTATCCATGTTCCCTCGGATTAAATGTGAATTATTATTTTTTTAAAATTGTCTTACCTTTCTTTACTTTCAAAAATTGTATTGAGATGGATGGTCTATTATTATCATAAAAATACACGCAGTAAATTGGACTTGATAATTGGCCAAATGATCTAAAGCTTCACCTTTTAGTATATTTGTAATTTCAGAATTTCTTTGATGGTAAGTCATCATCATCACGTTAGATTGATGCTAAAGATATTAAATAATTAACTACAATGGCTGGAGTAAATGCAAGAAGAATGATTTGTTTAAAGAAATTGTTCCCAAAGCAATTGCGCTCCCGTCTATCAACTTTCTTTCTCGCATATACACCTTGTGTGATTGCTGATAATATATAAAGATAACTTGGCAACATATCACTTTTGCATATTTGAAAATCAAATGTCAAAATGTAAAAGACTAATTCCACAAAAAAATTTTTTTTTGACAATCTTGATAAAGTTTCTAAAATTTTTGTCACGTTTTTAAAAACTTTAATTTTTAACTTGTTACAATGTTTAAATGTTTAACAATAATAACAATGCTATAAATAATGATTTAAAGCCCCATTCAAGAATTATCAAGACAATTCAAGAGAATTTGCTTTCTTTGTAAAATAAATATTAAATTCCAGATTTAAAAATTCCGAGAGCAAATAATTTATAGTTGCACGAACCAATACTTTTTTATTTTCCTTTTCGGATAATATTTTACTTAATATATACCAGATTTTTTTTTTTAATTTTATAGTAACAATTGAAATTTATATCATGATTATTTCCAACCTTGAATAACAACAAAGGTAAAGTAACACCTATTTTATTATATTACATCACGTATGCGTGATAAATAATTGATTACAGTAAATAATATAAATATTATGAACATTATTTTAAATGTGAATTGAATAATTTATCATCGGACGTTATACCTGATAATCGATGATTTATTTAAACTGGGTTAATTTCTTTTTTTTTTTTTTTTGAAAATTTCTTTAATTTTTTTTTTAATTCCTATACAACAAAATTATAATTTTTTTTAATAAAAAAGTCTCATTAATAACATTTTGTCATTCGCTTTGCCTCTCTCTCTTTTCTTTTCAAAAAATACAACAACTAAGTTAATATTATAACGGTCTAAATAAGATTAATATTCATTATAATAAAAATGTCTTCACATATAATAAATAACACCAACATAAATTATAATAAGAATAAAATTTGTAATCAAACAGCTACTTCTTTATTGGAGCTTGATTCAAACATTCCTTATAATATATTTATAAGGAATTTAAAATCATTAAAAGCTGGGCAAGTTGTTGTAAATTTTGATATAATACTTGAAAAGAATAGAATAATATTTCACGGCTCACGTGATGATAGTAAAATAAGAACTGTGAGAGGTAAAGTGAGGCTTGAAGTGGCTGGTAAATTAAATGTCAAGGTAATTAAAATATTTATTTATATATTTGATCAATTTAATTAATCATTAATTGATTATAGTTAATTTTGTAAAATCACTTGCTACTATTAGGAAATCATTCTATCACTTGTAGGTGATTATAATATTTCCTTAGATTTAATGAATGACATATCATCATCATTATCACCATCATCACCAACATCATCATTGGAATCATTGGAATTATCATTACCAGAAAAACAAGGAACTGTCTTTTCAAGTTCCATATTATTAGAAAATAAAAGAGTATTATTATCAGGGATTCATGAATTTCATTTTGAATTTCTTTTACCAGGAGATTTATCAGAATCAATGAATTCAGATGCAGTTTTATGTAAATATTTTCTTAAGGCGGAATTAATGACCAGATTTCCAAGCGAATTATCAACAGATAACAACAAATCAGTTGACATTGTTGATTTGTTTATCGAAAGAGCTTTTTTAGAATCTGATGATGACATAACAAATGGATTAAGGCCAACAAGATTCATTGGTGGAAATAATGATTTACTTGATTTTGAATTCATATTGCCAAAAATCATGAAATTAAATTCAAATTCAATTGAATTTATTGGTAGATGGAGTGGCTTTAATAGAGTTGATAAGATTAGTTTTTGTTTTGTCCAAAGTGAATGCTATAACATTGCAAATAATGGATGTATTGTTCATAATGAAAAATCAATTGCTGGACCATTCTGTTTCCAATTACCAAAAAACGAGCCATTGAGACTTCAAAGCAGACCAACAATATTTAAATTACCAATATGTGAATCTTTTGTAAATGATTATGATTTAGTTAATATTAAAATAAGACATCAATTAGATGTTAAGATCCAATTAAATAACTTTAAAAAAGATCAAATTGAATTCAGGTTAGTCAATGATTAATATTTAATAATATTTATATTGATTTTTGTTTTCTCAAATTTTTCCCTTGATTATTCTTAGCATTCCAATCTCAGTCAAGTCAATAATACCTAATCAAGATACTTTGCCATTACCTCACAAAATCGATCTTTCAAATAGTGTTGCCTGTTTACAATTGGGAAATGAAATCTATACAAGTAAACCATCAAAAGAAGCCAATATAATAAACAAACAACCCATTTTTAAATCACCATCAATAATATTTAATAATGTCAATAACAGAGAGATTAATACCAGTCATAATATGAATATTAGTACTAATACTGATAGTAATGTTACACGACCATCAAAGCCTTTACCAAGTATTCGTAAACAATTGTTTCAATTTTTATCAAGAAAAACTAGTATTCAAAGTAAAAAATCATCATCAAAAAAATCATTGCCAATCAATATTGAATCAAGAATATTTAATAATGATGATGATGATAATGACATTATTAACAATATTAATAATAACAGTAATAGTAATAGTAATGGCAGTAGCAGTAGCAATATTAATAATAATAAAACAATAAACAATCTACGTAATTCACGCATTAGTACAATTACTGAAGTCTCAAGTGAATTTTCGATTGAAAATGATGATATAATAGAAGAAGAAGAAAATGATGATGAATATATTGAAAATATAAATCATGATATTGAATATGACAATGATGATGCGGACGATATTAAGGCCAACAACACCATAATAACTGCAGCAACAGCAACCACTTATACTAATAATGACTTTAATGTCAAAGAGTTCCATAAACCAGATTTCATCACATTATCAGCAAATATTATAGCTGAAAATTTTATTAAATTCAACTATTTATTACATAAAAGACATCATCAAAATAACAAAGACAATATTAATAAAACCAATAATTATCAACAGCAATATAAGAATCATCATAAACCTCCACCTAAATCACATCAAAATAAATCACTCAAAAGAAATAGTAGAATCAGTAGAGCTTCATCTACTTCCACTTGTGTACAACCTGACGTCAAAGATTACATTAAACATTCAACTCATTATAAATCCGACAACAACAACAACATCACCATTAATGACAATATCATCTCATGATTGTAAATATCTCATATTTAAAAGAATGTTACTAGAATGAAAAAAAATATTCATTCATTCATTATTTTTTATTTTTTTCATTTTTTGTAAATTAATTCAGAATCAAAAAATTGTTTCACTCATTTACTTAATAATAATTCATTCGTTTAGTTATTTATTGGAGATAGATATAAGGATGCAAGCAAAGGGGTATATATATGTATGTATGTGTGCACGTAGAAGAAAATTATTTCTTTAAATAAATTTTTTTTTCTATAATATAATTATATAAATGTTAAATATTATAGATTTAGAAAAATTTAGAAAAAAAAAAATAATTTTTTTATCGTCATCATTCTTTTGTATATTATATTTTCTTAAAAAAAAACAAAAAAAAAAAAATTTTTTTTAAAAAATTCACCACTCTCTTTATTTATTTTCTTTTAATTTAGCGGGCCTAATCATAAAAAAAAGTAAAATATTCAAACTTAATTAATTTACAGTAATTTACATTTTTTCTTCATCATGTGCTAAATTTTTTTTTGATAAAAAAAAACAAAATAAAAATTTAAAATCATTTATAATAATTTTCTAACTGTTGGATTAACCGCTTGCTTTCCACACGTTACTTCAACAACCATATAATTTTAAAAATTGACGCGTGAAATTTCACATTTTCGAATTCGTGTAATCAATCCGATTTAAAGTAGCTCGCGCATTATTAAGTAAAGCTACGGCTATTCAAAAATGCAATTACTTTATTAATATGGGAAATTGAATCGAATCGAATTTGAGAGTGATTCGATTCGATTCGATCTGTAGTCAATTCGATTCGATTCGAATTCAAAAAAACAGGATTCGAATTGATTCGAATCAAACCGGATTCCTAAAATTTTTTAACGTCATATTAAATTTATATTTTTAATTTGATAATTTAAATTTATATTACACAGCGAATCACAATCAGTGTGCCTCCATTTGATGAATACTAATGGATTGAGGTCTAAGAATGGTTTAATGATAATAAAATTCTTCTTGATATGATATTTATTCGAATTCTATAATTCTAAAAAAAGTTGACAAATTGTCATTATACTAGTATAACGAGATAAATAATAGGTATCATTTAATTTCGTCATTCGTCACCCGTAATTGATTTCGTAATTAATTTCGTAATTACGTATTACGTTTTTGGCAAAATAATTACCATCCCATGTATAATGCGATCCATGCCATCTGTTATAGATGGCCTAAAACTTGGTCAATGAAAAGTTTTATTTGGATGTATCAAAAAAGGTTTGACAAAAGAAGAGCTCAAAGTGCCACTGCTATCAAGTTATATTTCAGAGCAAACGGCATATCATCATGGTGAAGACAATCTACATGATACTATAATTGGTCTTGCACAGAACTTTGTGGGATCAAATAACATTAATTTATTGGAACTTATAGGACAGTTTGGAGCAAGGAAAGATGGTGATAAAAGAAATGCTGCACCAGGCTCTCATCCCTTGTTAGGCTGATATATCACCCAGATGATGACAATCTTTTAGAATACTTGAATGAAGATGGAACAAAAATTGAACCAAAATTAAAGACTAGTGCCGTAATCCAAAAAAGGAAAAAGTATGGTTGCAAAAGTGGTCGCAAAGGTAATTGCAACCACTTTTTATATTCCGTAAATACAATTACTACCATCATCATAATTTACGGCACTAGTCTTTAGCAGCCAAAATGGTATGTTTCTGTTATCCCGATGGTTCTTGTTAATGGTGTGGAAGGTATAGGAGCACCAGCATTCCTAATTTTAACCCCACAGATATTATTCAAAACTTGTGAAAAAAAATCGAAGATAGAGATATAGTTCCAATGTATCCTTGGTACTGTGGATTTTATGGGGAGATAAAGCAAGCTGGTGCTAATAGTACACATCACATGGAATTATCAAGAAAACAACTGATACCAATGTCATCATTACCGAATTACCACCCCGTAAATGGATTGAAGATTACAAGTTAAAAGTACTTGAGGAACTCAGAAAAGATGGAACTATTATAAACGTTTTAAACAAATGTACCAGCGAAAAAGTGCATTTTGAAATCGAATTAAATCCTGAAAAAATAAATACCCAGGAAAAAGAACTTGAAAAGGGTTTCCAACTAAAGACTAGTGCCGTAATCCAAAAAAGGAAAAAGTATGGTTGCAAAAGTGGTCGCAAAGGTAATTGCAACCACTTTTTATATGCCGTAAATACAATTACCATCATCATCATAATTTACGGCACTAGTCTTTATTTCTAACTAACATGTCCATTGACAACATCAAACATGATGTGTTTTGATTCGGACATAAATTAACAAAATATAATTCACCAAAGGATATAATAGATGCATTTTATGAAATAAGATTAAATTTGTATGAAAAAAAGAAGGGTAGGTTATGATTTTGTTGGATTTTTTTTTTACTAACAATGTATATATTAATATATGTGTGTGTGTTGATTAATCTATTTTCATACATGTGTACTAATTCACTGATTCATCTATTTATTTATGTATGATGACAGTCATATTTAATTAGAGAAAAAGAACAAAAAATGAAGATGATGAATAATAAAATCAGATTTATTTCCATGAAACTTGAAGGTGAAATTAAAATTTGATAGTTTAAAAAAAATTGGAAATTATAAAACTTCTTGAATCATACAATTTTGATAAATTCCATAATAATGATGATAATAATAATGATTTTGAAGGATACAACTATTTATTAAAAATATGGTTGTCTGATGATGATGGGGTAATCAGTTAATTGGTGATTTAATATTTTCCTTTTTTTTTTTCAATTAATAACACATATACATAATTAATGTTATACTCAGACCATCAATGAATATGAAAAAGAAAATAAAAGGCTCCAAGATGAATTAACAAAAATCACAAATATGACAGCCAAAGATCTTTGGTTAAAAGACTTGGATGTATTGGAGGCTGGATGGAACGAATTTAATGATCATCGACAACACAATAATAATAATACAGAAAAACATAGAATTGGTGATGATGATGATGATGATGATGATGAATTATCATCAAATCAAGCATCAACAAGTAAAGGTAAGTTAAGCTTTGATTATTGTGGATGGAAAATTATGTTAGTTATGAAATTTTTTTTTTTTAGTTGGAGGAAGAGCATTGAAGAGAAGAAAATGTTCTAATTAATAAATTATATATTTATTTATTTCATTATTAATTATGATGACTATATATATATTTTATTATTTATTATTTATTAATGAAAACTCGTAACTTCCAACTGATTTTAGTTTGGAAACATATATACTTGTAATGTATTTCAAGTGTTCCATAAATCTTGAACCCTGAAATGTTCACTTTGTCTGGTTTTGTTGCAGTATGCCCCATATATGAAATGTTACAAAAATAGTAAATTCAAATAAAAAATCTGGTTGCAACAAATCATTCCCTGACTTCTAAATAATCATTTGGTGCAATTATTTTTTTAAAAATGATCACCCCTGAAGAGCAAATATCATTTTTGGTAAGTCAATAATAGTTGATGGTTTTTGCTGTCATCCACTGTATAATAATTAATGAAAGTTTTAATGAAAGAATATGATGAATTTAATTTAGTGCAACCTATTTAACATTAAAAAGGATTACTTGCAAGAGTAGATAGCCCATCAATAATTGGTACCTTGCAATAAATATATTGTGCACTGCACATGTGGTCAACCTAGGAGTGCCAGTGCACATTAAGACTTTGGTTTGCACACTCCTTTAAGGCTCCGAATGAATCAACAAAATTTGGTCTCTAATTTTGATTTGTTTCATCCGAATCAATATATACTATTTAATACACATAAATAATGAATCAACCCAATGAATTTGATTTGAATCTATCCCAATGAATCATAATTTGATTTGCTTATGGAAGATAGGTGCAAGGTAATCAACTGATTATTGTAATATCTAAATGGCAAAGAAAAGGAGCAATCCAAACCAGTTATACTGTTACTGGATAAAGTAAATAAATAGATATAAAGTTCTTTTTTATTTTTCTATGACCAATTTTATTTCAATCATTAGCCGATTGCAAGCCCGCTTTGGTTTATTTAAAACAGCTTGTTTAACAGCCTTACCTTTACAATAGCACTATTAATATTGCCAATCAACACTCTTGAACAATGCCATTGTTAACATTTACCAGCTAACCAACATCAATCAGTACCAAGCCCTTACTTATTCACCAAAGCAAATACCTTGTCAACACTCATTCACTAGTTAACCAATGCCAGTACCAAGCCTTTGCTCACTAACTAAAACAAATAAACCACAGCCTTTTACCAAAGTGTTTTACCGAAAATAAAAATGCAGGATTATATTTTATTTTATTTTTAATCTGAATGTATATTCATTTTGTATTTTATTACCATCTTTTGCTTTCATATTCTAAATATTGAGACTCTGAATCAGTTTGATACACTCATTTTTATCAAGGTTTTCTGACTTTTTTATAGCATTATAAATAAATATTGTATTCCTTATTGAATCATCACCATCTTTACCATTTATCCATACACGACCATTCATTCCTATCGCAATCTCAAACGGAGATGGAACTTTTTTCTCAAGCAATGATAGAATTGGAGATTGTTTAAACAATAATCTACAACCAACCAACCAACCAACCAACCATATATATTTGTGTGTTACAAATTAAAAATTAATTAATTAACATCTCATTCATAATCATAACCACAACAGTTACAATTTAAATGGAAAAGAAACAATAGACTTGTTTTTTTTTTAAAACGAATTACCTTCTACAATGTCTTAAAGAACATTTTAATAAATAGCCATTTTTCAATTCACCAAATCCATCAGCTTTACCATTTTCTGGATTAACACATCCAAGTTCTGGTTCCATATCTTTATTTGCTAATAAAACTCTTGCATATATTAAACTTCCTATCTACAAAAGAAATTTTTTTTTGCAAATATGAATATTGAAATTGTTTCTTAAAATAAAATAAAAAAGAATAACAAAACAGAAATTACATTTAGATTTGGTCTATTCTTTTTTGTTACATTCTCAAACGCCAAGTTGGATAGGATTGCTTGATGAGCAGATCCAATATCCAAACGATAAAATTCTGAAGTTTTATGTGTCACTATTCCAAGTACAGATTCTCCTGCAGCCGGAACATACTTTTTAAAAGGATAGATAAAATAAGTATAACATTAAGTAAATTATATATTTCCTCCCAGAAATAAATCAATAAGAATAAAATCACTACTATTGCTTACTCTTTTTTGGTTATTATCCACCCACAACTTATTCCCTGACTTAGTAGAGCATTCTAAAATACCAGCTTTTAAACTAATTATTGATTCTTCATTTTGCGTTAAGCCTGGTCCAAGTTGTATTTTATCGCCTGAAAATTTGACAGGATCACCCGGAAGAACAACATTATTATTGTCGTCATCATTATCAATATCCATATCTTCTTCCATTGTATTAATTTTTTAATTTTAGAGTGCACGTAACACAAGTTTTTTAATCGCGACGATGAAAAATCAAATAAATAAAACTTTGGAATATGAATTGCGCACATAAGTTTATTTACAAATTTATTTATTATTTTTGAATCCATGATTTTAGACACAAAATCGTCCTAGCTGTCTATGACTCCAACCTGTTCCTTCGAGAAGAAATTGTTTGACCTGCAATGGAAAAAGCCTGTTCAGAAACAATGTTTCAGATAGTTATTACAGCAATCATATTGGCGATCAATATATTATAAATTAATTGAAATATATCAGCATTATTCAACAACAATAGACTCGGAATATTATTCAACAATTATATTATTTACTCGTCTTTTGTCTTTATTAGATTGATTAATTATAATATTACAAGTTTTATATAGATAATTTTTACAATTTTATTTTAAATAAAATTGTGTATATATATATATATATTAATATGATAAAGAATTCTTTTGAATAATAATTTTTTTAGAGACATGCAGAAATGAAAATGCAATTGTCTAAATTTATTCGTTCTATATTATCATTGAAAAAGATTTACCCTTCTTTTTCCTCACGCTTTTATCATATATTTTTGGTTGAAGCACCTTAAAATTCAATTTACATTTGGACCAAAGGATTTTCTCAAGAAGTTGCTTATTTTTATTCACTGCAGATTATCCTTTGATTCATTTGTCGTAATTAAATCAAGGGTTGTAGGTTCTACAACCTTAAAATCATTTAGAATGTGTCGCATTCTTTTGAATTTTTATTTATTGCGTTGTGCCTCTTCAAAATATTCTTCGTGTGTTGCCAATTCTAATTTCCTTTTGCGCGAATCTTTCAAATACTTTCTGTACTCCAAACCTTTTGATGGCTTCTTCGCAGTTCACATTCAATGATATATTCCTTTTAAAGACCAAAATGCTTGTAGTCCATTAACGACTCTACTAATTGGTTCATGTTCTTTAAAAGCACTTCGTTTTGGATTATGAACTATAGAATACTTTTCTTGTATGCAGTGTATGCATTTAGCAAGTTCTATTCTATAGTCTTCGTATTCATAAAGAGTAACTTCATGCGCTTCAGGAAGTTCATAAAGACTTAAATATTTAAAAGCTGCTTCAAGTACCCTCTTACATAATCTACATGATATTCTTTTGATTACTACATGATCATCAAAACGTGCTACCAAGACCCAGTTGTTATGCCAAGCTAAAACTACACCATCTTCCACTAGTTGATGGTATGATTAATCTTGGGCTCAACTGTGTCACGAATATAGATTAACATTAGATGGCGATGGTATATTCTATGAACTCCAGGTAGACCACCTGTTAAATCAACTGCATGTCTATTAGCATATGGTTATAAAAATCCACCAGTTATAGTTGGTTTGATATTGATCGTGAAATTACAGTATTTGGACCCAAAGGAAAACCGATCACAGTTTCTGAACCTTACAGAACTTACAAAATACCAGTTGGAGGACTTTCATTTAAAGATGAAATTCCAGAATCGCCTCAAGCAGATACTAGCAAGGAAGGTGACCACCATCATTTACAATAATTGATTTTTTTTCCTGGTATTCTTCCGAGTATATAACCTTGTAATGGCAGAGTGAAAGTGGTCATGCTTGAATCATCAACCACAATGGTTGGTCTTAGCTCATGAACTAAATCTTTGCCGTTCATTAGATTCTCTTGGTGGTGATAACTTGAGTGGTTTGGTATATGTGCATACATTATAGAGATCATTGACGGTGTAAATTTCCTGATTAGATTCTTGAGTCTCCTTATTTTCCTTGTGGTAGCTACTGGGTGGGTGTTGTTACTTAATTTTTACTTGTATTATTACTTTTAATTGGTGCTACTTCTTTTCTTTTTCTGGATTGAGTTGCCACGATTTGTTTAGGTATGTCAAACTTATTTGTTAATAAAGCTTGTGAAATAGATTTCAAATATTCTGAAGATGATTTTACTACCTTGCTTCTTGTTGATGCTTTTTGAGTTGATGTTGGTGCAACATTTTTTGAGGGATATATTCAATATCTGAACCAGCATTAAAATTGTCATTTTTTTTTTGTGGTGGTTCCTAAATGAGGTAATATGCATATACATGTTGTATGTGTGAGTGAGTATATGGCTAAATGAGTTTTATATGCTTCCAAATATAAGTTATTCAAATACTATTATTATAGCTTACTTTTTCTTTCTTTGTGAATTTTGTTTTCACATATTCTATCTAATAAAGTATAAGATTATTAATATAAATAGAATGCCAAAATTTATACCATGATTGCATAATTTTTCCCTGGTTAATAGGTGATATTGATGGTTTGGTTTATTAAAGTTTACTTTTGAAATCTTGTTTGATAATTTGTTTGCTGCATTGTAATCAAAAATTCAGATGATTTTTTTAATATTAAGCATGATTTCTTGTATTATCCCCCGTGTAACCTCATTCATAAGTTTGTACTTATACCCACTAGAAAAATTCAAGCTCAGTTGAATTTTATGATAGACTATTTTTTTATTTATAAAATG